TGGCATAATGCTCCATTACCAAAATGATTACTGCATTTTGTTTCCTTTAGTTTTAGTGTTCTTTCTGACATTGAGTAATAAATTAAATTGCATAATGACGTTGGTGCTTCCAGGATAAAAGATTTGTGCATTATTAAAAAGGCCTTAAAATAGATTCTTTCTCTAATTTTCAACTAATGCAAAATTAGAGAAAGTTATGTTTGGTAGAATACAACACAAATAGTAGTTATGCTTACGTGAACAGTTATTATTGTATGCATAGCTATTATTATATCAGGCCTTGTTACAAACGTTACCCTGTTTACATTTTAAGGACAAATTAAAAAAAACACACACAAAAATTGAAACCATTGGGTTTTTGGTTAAAAAAAAAAAAAAAAAAAAACTCCTGAATACATCTAAGGCACTTCAAGGTAAGATTATTTAATATTCAAGAGTTTTTTTAATTATTAGTATATTAGACTAACCTTGTCATCAAATTCTTCATCTTCATCATTTTGTTTATCTTTAATGACTGTTTCTTCAAAAATTTCTAAAAAAAAAAAAAAAATCAGCATAATTTTACATTGAATAAATACTTTATCTTTCCTTTCATCTGATCATATTTAAACTTGATCATGTGATCATATTCAAACATGAAATACAATTTAAGATAAGAAATTTATAGAATGAGAGAAAAAATAATTAATAATAATTATGAATTTAAATAACTTTAATAATATTTAAATGAATTTAAATCTTTATAAAGAAATTTGTATCATTATTTTAATTTTTACATTTTAATCTATCTTAATATAAAAATATTCTTAGCCTTTTTTGAGTGTTTTACAAAACTTCATCAAAAAAAGAAATCTCAAACTTTTATCGAATTAGAGTCCCTAATTTTGATGAAATTAGCTATTAATTACTGTTTTCTTTCATTTTAAACAACAATTTAAAATTGTATATTATTTATTGAAGACATTAAATTAACTTTTTTTAACATAGTTTAATATACGACCTTAAAAAGTATTAACTTGGAAGCTAATAATCTTAAGTAGTTTTACCATTTTCTACTAACTACAAAAAAATCAAATAAACAAAAAAAAAGCGCAATTTAATATGTCCTTTCATAGGTCCTATATTATATTTAAAGTGACACTTGTAAAAGAAAGTATAATGACACTTGAGAGATATAATGTTTAGTTGTATTTGCATTATATATTATTAAGAGTCTTAATGTATAATAAATAAAAAAAGATTATAAATTTATTATCCTTTGTTAAAACTTGTCATAAATATCAAACGTCAGAAAACTTGAGAGCTTACTTGAAAATTAGGTGCTAAGATTCTTAGCATTTTTTTTTTTCACCACCAAAACTAGAGTAACAACTTTTTTTCTCAATTAAATTTGAATTATTTAAACAATCAATTAAAAAAAGTTTATAAACCAGTCTTGTTATGTCATATATTGATTATATATTGATTCTTAAATTTAAAATAACATTATAAAAATAACTAGAAGTCTGGAGGTAATCCCCACCCAGTCAGGTGGTATTAGGAGAGAGGAGGGCAACAGTAATAATTTTATTACCAAATACTTATATTTACTACTTCTAAAGTTACTGATTTTTATAAAAACAAATTATTTTTAAAACTAGGCAAAAGAATATGATATTAATGTAACAATAAAAGCAAACCAAATAATGTAAAAAATTTGGACAATAGTTAGTCATAAGCCTAATTAAGGACAAATTAAAGGAAATGTTGAAAATTTTTGAAACTTTTGTAAGTAACTATTTCACACTTTTCAATAAATGTTTATAGCTATGCATAAGGACATAAAAATAACTTTGTATAAATTCACCTTTTTAAATATAATTTGTTTTATTTATTGCAATTAAAACTGAGTAAAACTGATTACAACTAAAGTTGAACTATAAATCAAAAAATATAAAAATAAATAGTATATTTTCACAAAAACTTAGAGGTGTAAAATGCCATACAAATAAATTATATCAGAGATAAATATGTTTGAATATGTTTGATGTATTTTAAAACAAACATTACTCGAATATATAAACTATTTATAACTATTTAACTAATTAATATTATTTAATTGTAATGATAATCATAAACTTAATCATAAACTGTTACTATGTATTCATTTAACACAAAATTCAACAGAAAAAGCATCCTATATTACAAATAAAAAGACATGCGCTTGACAACAAACCTTTATTTTTATGTTGAGTTTGATCATCATTATCTGTCACTGTGCGAATTAAAATTTTACAAGTTTCGCCATTTATACATGAATTTATGAATTCTTCTGATTCTTCTTTGGACAACTGTTTTGTGTGCTCAATTATATCCCCAAAACAATGTTTACATCTTGTTTTCCGCCATTGCTGAGGTGCAAAAGTTTGACATGTTTCCTTTGTAACGATATTCTCAACAAAATCACCAGCCATATTTGTTCTTTCATAGTGCTTAAGTCTAACATAAAATCTGTTCCAGTGCGTCATCAAGTTTATCCTTTCGCCATCATCAGCCGTCCATTTAATTAAACAAATTTTTGTAAATATTATGTTCCTTTGTTTAAACAATGAAATTTGAACTTTTTTGGTATGAATCAATGGAGATTATTTGTTTTTGCATAAACATAACTTTTTTATTTTCTAGATTACTTTACATAACCAAAGATTTTAAAGAACCAAAGAGATATTGTGGTTAATAAATCGGCCATGACCCACCCGTTAATCGGAGTTATAAATAGAAGCGGTTTTCTTACTCATATTTAGCAAAAACACTATTAGTAAAATGTTTTACATCCACTTCCTATTTAAGAAAAAAGTTTAACTGAACTTACCACCAACCTGAAATCAAATTAACTTCCAACTGAACTAAATTTTTCAATAATTTCCAAATGGACCGTCTAACAATTTTTTTCATTACCATAAATATATATACATATATATATATACAAGGCCGGCGGGATAGGGGGGTATGGGGGTGTGATATCCCCCCCCCCCCCCATCGATGTTTTTTAGACGGCAAATTTGACTAGTTAATCGGATAATGTAGACCCTTTCGATAGGTAAGTTGGTAACTTAGACAGTCAGTGGGCAAATGGCACGAGGACCTTTTTTTTTTTTTTTTATTTTTAGTGAGCAAAAGTTGTAATGGCACCCCCCTGTGACACCTACACACGGCCCAAAAGTACTTTTTTTTTACCTTTTTTTGACGTTTTTCGACCCGCGTGTGCCACCCTTAAACATTATTAAATTCAAATTATTATTTTTTACATATCTTGCAAGGACTATACAAAAAAATAAAAAGGCGTTCTAACTCAATTTATTGTTTCAAAACTTAAAATATGTCCTTTAAAAATACCTAAGAACAATTTTTTTCAAATCAAATGTATTTTTTTATTATTTCTATACACGCAACTATTTTAATGACAGCGGTATGATCTCATTGTTCAAATGTCAAAAATCATACTCAATGTTCAACATCTGCTATTTTAATAACATTAAACAAAATTTATTAACGTTGGTAAAGTGTTTATTTTAAAATAAAAATAAATTTTATTATAATTTATTTACATAAAATAAAAATAAAATATAAAAACTATGCCAAAAATTCTTAAAAAATGAAAAATAGAGGCCAAGAAATATTCTTTGTTAAAAAAACTAGAAATACTCTACAATCTAATCAATTTGCAACTATAGAAGAAGTTATACAGTATTATCTTTACTTACGTGAGTCTAAACCATCAACTTCTCTCAAAAACTTAGTGTGTTGTCCAAACAAAGGTTCTACATTTACACCGGGAGAGAACTGTTGCGTTATATCTAAGCTGAAGGTTTCATGGGAACTTGGTGGATACAGATACACTTGTGACATACAATGCATTTTACGGTTAGTAATATTTAAGAAATCTTAATTTAAATTAGCTTTACAGTTATTTATTAAGTATTATTTTTAGGAAAGAAGTCGAAGCTGTAGTAATGAAATACAAAAAGCTGCAGTCGCTAAGAAAGAGATCAACACCAGGAGCAATAAAAGATTAATAAAGAGAGAACTTCTTAATAGAATCTAAAAGGGTACTTTGGTTAGGACTTGACATACAAATCATGATTGATGAAATAAAAATGGATAGAAAAAGAACTGAAGAAAGTAAATGTATGGACATTATGTTCTTGAGAATGCAGAAGGAAAAAAGGCAAAGTTGTCTAGGCATTTCTGATACCTGTTTCAAAAAGTCTGCAGAAAGGTTTGAAAAAAAAATTTAATACCAAGAAAGGATTATCAAGAGTTACCGGAACTATCTTTGATGGTAGTTTCTCAAAAAGATAGGTTCAATTTTTGTATTCCTGGTCCAATACATCATGCAAGACTCATGTCAAAAGCGTTGTATTATCTTAAAATGTATTTACTATTGGAAGCTATTCCAAGTTTATCAGAAGAAAATAAAGAAGAGATTCGTTAAATGGTTATGTTTGTAGGTATCTTTTACAGTCAATGGTTTTTTAAAGCAGTATCGACAACTGCTGCGCCATATCAGGTTAAAAATAATCATTATAAATAAGAAAAAAGCGTAAAAAATGATGAGTTAATTTTCCAATTGATGACCAAATCTAATATTGTTAAATATATTTTTAGTATATGAAAGCTCTGTGGCAGAGAAAGAGGTTCATGGATATAAATCTTCTTGGAGCTACTTTAGTAATAAAATCATTTGACAGACACAGCTGGTACCTTGATCCTGCCTTAGTTGTGCTTGCATTAGCAGATAAACGTTGCCCATATACATATATTACCACATTATTATGATATAAACATTCTATCAAACCAATAGTATATCCACTTAAACGTGGATAAAGAGGTTCTTCGCTCTCTAGACTTTTCATAAGATCAGTCTCAATCTCTTTGTTCTCTAATAACTGAGCAATCTTGGCTTATATTTGATAAAATAGAAAGGAAAGGGTGAGTTTGGAAAGGGTGAGTTGCAGTGGCTTAAGATCCCCTTTGCAGTTTTGGAAGTTTAATGATTTTTATCTTGAGTTTGAATCTACTATGAAATCTCTAGATGTGGTTAATGATTTGTCAGAGAGGACCATAAATTTAGCAAAAGAGCTAATTGGAAAATAAGAAGAGACAAAATTTGTTCTTGTTAAACCATGTTTAAAAAAGAAATAAAAAAGGGACAAAGAAAAAGGAACATTAAATTTTAACATCAAATGTAAATAGTAATATTTTCAAATGCTGATTGATGGTTATTTAATCAAAGTTTAAAATTACGCTAATTTTATTTTTATTTATTTCCACTTCTCTACCTGCAACTCGTAATAAAGTTATATTATTAGGGAAGTGGTAATCCAACTTTATCTAGATTTATCTTTAAGTTTAACATCAAAAATTATGTAATACATTAAACTAGATTTTGTAATAAAAATACCATAGAACTATACGTTGAGCTTTTAACCCCTTCTTTTTGGGGAGGGTGGCAACTTTACACCGTCATAACTTTTGAACGCTACAATATTATTAAATTAAATTTGAAATCTATTGATAAATGGAAATTTAGTTCAGAATAACATTAGTATAAATTTGAGCAACTAATTGCTCTCATAAGGAAGGGGGGCTAAGTTTTACGGTTTTTCTAGATCTCAGGCTCCGATCACTGGAATTTTTTCAAGGCATCACAATTTGATATAAGTATAGGTATACGTAGTTTTGAAGTTTTTTCTATGTCTACCTGTTATTTATCATAAGCAGCAACGAAAGCTACCGGGATCATTAAAATAAAGAAAATCGTTTTTTTGTCAATGTTTAACGACTTTTCTATAAGTTTTTCAGTGTTGAAAAAAAAATAATACAAATAGAGTGACTTTTTATTTTTTTATATAGGTTCTTGCATGAATAGGTAAAAAAAAATAATTTGAATTTAATAATGTTTAAGGGTGGCACACGCTGGTCGAAAAACGTCAAAAGGGTAAAAAGGGTAAAAAAAAAAAATATATATATATATATATATATATATATATATATATATATATATATATATATATATATATATATATATATATATATATATATATATATATATATATATACATATATATATTATGTTAAAAGATAAATAAAATTTTGTTTTGAAAAGAAAAAATTATAACTCATGTAACAATCATTTTACAGAAAAGTTTTACTTTCATAATCATTTTTTTTTAATTAATATTTCTCTGTGGCCAAATGAACACAAGTTCTAATGGGAAATTTAACTTACGCTGAAAACAGGAAAAAAAGCTACATAATATATATATATATATATATATATATATATATATATATATATATATATATATATATATATATATATATATATATATATATATATATATATATACATAAAAAATATATGTTAAGTGTTAAATAATTATGTCAAATAATAAATAATAAAATTCTGCAAAACTTCGAATGCACAATGATTCTTATTCTAGAAATAATTTAGACTCTCGACAAAATCTACTGTTATATATTTTCTTAAATTGACAGTAACTTTATGTCCTTTAAATTCAAAACCAACAACACATATTCCGTCAACACAAAAGGTAAAAAAACGTGAACATAAGGCCCTTTGAAGGCCTTAGACGGCAACTAATATTTGGTACAAATAGTCGATTTGGAAACAAGGCCGTCCCGAGAGGGAAAAGGCGTAGGAGGTGTAAAATCTCTTCGGGATGGCCCTGTTTAGAAACGAATGTAAAAGCTTCAAGGGTTGTCCATTAATTATGTTAACAAATAGGTGGAGGGGTGGGGGTTGAAAATTTTTGACAATTATTAACAAAGGAGAGGGAGGTCAAGAAAAGTTGACTTCAACAATGTTACTTTTTAAATAAATTTAACTACTAGAAAAAGAAAAAATAGGATGTTTTTTTTCCATTTTGAATAATTTTTTTTTTTTTTTTTTGGGGGGGGGGGGCAATCAAATGTTGACGTAGTTTTATAGAGAGTCTCTGTAAGTTGACCAGTTTTTGACAAGAGGGAAGGGAGGAGGTAAAAATTGCTAAAAAATTATTGACATAATTAATGGACAGGCCCTTATGACATTCTTTGCACATAACTTTCCGAGAAGAATGGTAATAGATACAGATATGTCGTAACTTGGTTGAGAAATGTCTATCAATGGAGATTACTCGAGCCTCCTTGTTCTGGTTAAGAGGGTCACGAATCCTATTTAGAGATTACTGTTTTAGTGTTTCAGTACTTTTTATTACCTGTTTTACCTTGTATTGACATATTAGTAAATTATAGTAATAACAAAAAATGAGTACACTTCTGAAATAAACTCGAGTAAAAGTTTATTTAGTCGAAAAAAATCTTTATATATTAATATTGAATTAAAAAGTGGTAGTATTGCCCCTTTCCAGTGTGTTTTGGCAGCCATTGCAACCAAGGTAATGGCAATAATGAGTCGCACAACTTTTATAAGAAAATTGTATACTATAACAAATAAAAGGAAACGGGTTTGAACCCTCGTAAAACGACACTGATGACAGAGCATAAAACCACTGATCTTTTGAATTTATGCATGTAATTGAAAAACAAACCATTCTATAAACTCTTAAACTGATTGCAATTAATCAACAATTTTCAAACGGGTTCTCTAAATAAACGCAGCTTTATTGCATATAATATCTCTTATATAACATAATCTAACAATAAACAAATATGTTATATGCAAATGTAAAAAATAAACTTAAATAAAGTTTTATATAGGATCGTTTATAATATAAGAAAACTTTTCTAATAATTACAAGTCTTTTTTGCTTAAATTGTTTTGTTTTGAAGTTTTGTATTTATATAATTGTATTTAAAAAAATTAACAAGTTTGAAAAAATACGAAACATGTGTGATATTATGCAAGTAGAAATCTTGACTCTCCCTTGATAATTTCTTATTGCTAAAATTACGTCATCTTCTTAGTTACTCCGTTAGCGTTACATACAAACGTCTGTAAGTGAAAACGTCTTTTGCGTATATTGAGTTTCCATGCGGTATATTTCACAATCATGTATTGTATATGTATAATATGAGAAAACTTTAAAAGTTTATTTTCACAATTAGAAGTCTTTTTTGCTATATATATGTATATATATATATATATATATATATATATATATATATATATATATATATATATATATATATATATATATATATACATATATATATATCAACTCCATCAGCTTGGTCTAACAGCACTTGAAGAGCGCTGTAACAGAGCAGAGCTTATCGACCAAATTAAAATCACGCGTCAACTGAACCTGTCAGTTTTTTCGTCCCGCAAAATCTTTCAAACAGTAAAGCCAAGTATGGCATAACCAAAAACTAGAGCGCCAACTTGTAAAAAAAATTGTGAAAAACGACATAAGTTTTTTTCAAATAGAGTTGTTGTCCCATGGAATGCGCTTTCCCAAGCAGCAGTGAACACTCCACCAATCAATGCTTTCAAAGACAGCAAAACAAAGTTACTTTTAGAGACACAATTGCTGCTTTGTCTGTAGCTTTTGTGTATTTTTTCGTCAGCATATTTGGGCCTGGTGTAGTACCTCTTTATCAAATTATAAACAGATTTGTTGTATTTGTTGTTGTTTTTTCTGATCACTGAATAATAAATAAATAAATAAAGTATAGGGCCGTAGCGAGTAGGTGTCACGTGGGGGGGGGGGTGCATTACAATTTAGCCAACTAAAAAAAAAAGAAAAGCCGAAACTTATCTAAAAGATCTACATTTGCCTACTAATTTGTCTAAAAGATATATATATATATATATATATATATATATATATATATATATATATATATATATATATATATATATATACATATATATATATATATATATATATATATATATATATATATATATATATATATATATATATATATATATATATTATTATTATTATTATTATTATTATTATTATTATTATTATTATTATTATTATTATTATTATTATTATTAAAAGATTAATGAAAAAAAGAAAAAGAAAAAAAAAAATTCTTAACCTTATTTGAAAAATCTAGAAATTGTCATAAATTAATTTTATAAAATGCAAACAGACATGATTAGATCTTTTGTTGATAAACTAACAAATTTTTCCTATGTGAGCTACTTTAACTTATAATATTTTAGAAAATAATTGTTTATATAAATTTTGGCGCCTTAATGGCAGGTTATAATTTGTGTTTTTTCAGGGAAGGAGGGGGGGGGGGTTAAGACTTACTTGCCTCGGCACTGTTTAGTTATATTATTTTTATTACATTATATCTATTTTTCATTGCTTTAAAGAAGTTTTGTGCGCAATATGATTAACATACATTTTAGCTTTTTGTGGCGAATTTCGTTTGTAGTTGAATCTTTATATTTTCGCATAGGGGTCGTCCATAAATTACGTCACGCAATTTTTGACCGTTTTCGAACCCCCCCCCCCCCTCGTCACAAAATTGTAACACTTAAGAAGCGAGTTTTGACACAACACCACCAACCCCCTCCCCCTTATAGCGTGACGTAATTTATGGACAACCCCATAGTCATTTTTTTTTAGAAAGTAATTTAAAGATTTTAAATTTATAAAAAAAAGTATTCAACATTTTGTTTTTATATTAAAAAAAGAGATTATAAATAAATAAACTTTGTATTACAAACCCAAATAATAAAACAAAATGATTGATTTTATTCTTTAAAATTTTACTAAAACATTAACATAATTGATATTAATGTTATTTATGATAGTATTTATTGGGTAGAGAGTGAATTGTTTCGAATATCGAATTACTCGAATGTACGATTTAATAACTCAAATTGATATTCGGATATTCGGATATTTTGGTTTTATTCGGATATTCGAGTTATTTGACTATTTAGAAAAGCTATGCAAATATTTAAACTATTCGTTAATTTTTTTTACAAATATATTTATTTTATCTTATTTAATATTATAATTATAACCTTAATCCTTAACAAATAGATACAATTAATTTTTCAAATAACAAAATACAAAAATTAAGCGAAGAAAAAAATTATAATAATAACAATTTCCATTCAAAAGTTTATTTATACAAAATATATAATTTAATAAAATATAAAAAAACGTAGAAACTGAATTGAATTTGAAGCATTTAAACAGAGAGAATTAAAAAATTAACAAAGCAATCACCTTAATTAATAAAGAACATAAAAAATCATTGTTTTGTTAATAGCTTGTTTAATTATTAATACAAACAATTCATAAAATAAATCAATATTGAGATACTTCGGTGGAAAGCACCGTGATATTTCGCATCGCTCTTTATAAGTAGTTTATCTTTATAAGATAAAATACTTATAAAAAATATCTTCTTATGAAAAAACTACTTCAAAAATATCTACTTATAAAATAACTACTTATAAAAATATCTCATTACTTATTGGTCAGCATCATAACAAAATTATAGATAAAATTAATTCAAGTGAAAAAATAGAAATAAGGATGATTAGTAGAAAATCCATAGTCAATTAAATTCGATTTTCGATAAATTTGATTAATCAATAAATGTGTCTATGATTAATCGATTTAGTCTAAGTTGATAATGAAACTAGAGTATTTACATTGAAAACAATGGTTGTCGAAATAATATTAAACAACTTCAAATGCCATAAACTATTTAAATAACAATAACAAACCAGCGTAAATGCGAATTTGCGTGGGAGTGATATTGTTGCAGATATTATCGTGAGTTCAAAACTGCTTAAGCACGAATTAGGATGCGATCGCGATTTTACAAGCAACGGCGTAAGTCGGTACATGCGTAAGAGTAAATCTAAATAAATTGACAAGTTTTGAGTTAACAGAATAAGTTTATCATAAAAAAGCATATATATATATAAATATATATATATATATATATATATATATATATATATATATATATATATATATATATATATATATATATATATATATATATATATATATATATATATATATATATATATATATATATATATATATATGTATGTATATATATATATATATATATATATATATGAATGTCTTTTTTTAACATATATTAAAATTTGTTTAGTTTTCGTCTTAAAACCATGTTTGAGTAACAAAAAGTATTTATTAAATAACAATAAATATCAATGAATATTTGCAATAAATATATATCGATGAATATTTGCATTAAATATATATCGATGAATATTTGCAATAAATTTCTTGTCAATACATTGCTCAAATTTTGTAAAAGGCATTTTTTTTTAATTTTACTTAGTATATTTTTTGCTGTTAATAAATATGATAAATTTACAGATGAGTTTCTCTTACATATAAATAAAATTTAAAAAATAAATCAAGACTCAAAGAAGGTATGGATGATGTAATACCACAACAACCTTTTCATAGAGCCCTTTTATATAATAAAATATTGTCAAAAAAGTTACGAGAAACCACTAAAATATATAACTATTTAAATAAATTACTAATATAATAAGAAAGTAAACTATTTAAACAGTTATATATATATATATATATATATATATATATATATATATATATATATATATATATATATATATATATATATATATATATATATATATACACACTTTTTAAATCTTACAAAACATATATATATATGTTTTGTAAGATTTAAATTGTGTTTTTTTTGCTTAAAATGTAAATGAGTTTAATGATTAAATCATATTTTTCTTTTTGAAAACAAACCGATGGCGCCAAATTGACAACGTTTGAAAAACGGTCCGTCAGCGGCTAACCGATGATAAAGCCATTGCGGAATAGCATAGGATCTATAATAAGTTTTGACTAAGATTTGAATACATTGATATACATATAATTATTTTTGTATTTTTGTTTGAATAGAACGCACTTATCGTTAGCAAAAATCTTTATATCTTTCAGCTCAAATTTTTACTCATGAAAAAATGCAAATCCTGCGAATACCTGGAAGACGCATCAAATACCTTTTGACTTTGTGCATAGGTATATAGACAAATTACGAATTTATTATACTAAAATCCTCCTATCACCGAAAAACACTGACCCAACTGTAAATTATTAGGTCATACGTGGCAAGGCTTAAGCTCGGTGAACAAAAAGACTAATCAGAAGTTATAATGAAAATCATTTTAAAATTGCAATTTACAATTACAACATGAATATGAAAGTAACAATAATTTCTTTTTAAACTAAAACAAAATATAAAATATATTTGCATCTATAGATTATTGCTTCACTTTTCGTTTAGCAAACGTTTAAAATATAAAATAGTTAATTTTCAACATATCAATTAGTTCAGTTTATTCTAATTTCAATCGAAAAATAAATATATTCAGGAAGCCATGTGTTGAAAATTGATTTACGTTGCAGTCTGCAGACTTCTAACTTTCACCTAAAAGCAGGCAATGATATTTAATGAAAATATTGAAACAGTCAAGTTTAAAGCTATTATAACAAAGATAATAAACTAACCTTCTCAGCCCTTAAAAACGTGTTCGTTTGAAATAGTCTGATCACCAGTTATTGACAAATAACTTCAGATACTAAGTGCATCTACATTAAATAAATATAAATTCAATTTTATTATTTAAGCATAATTTAAAACATAAAAACAACAAAAACATTGCTTAAATTGAAAAGCTATGGAAATAACTTTAAAAAAAAACTATATAAAAATAAAGCCATATTGCGTGCCCTTTTTAAAAAATAAAACTTTATATACAGTAACCTACCTGGTATACCTAATCCTATAAATATGCTTGAGGGGTTTATAAACAATAAAAAAAAAAATTGTTATTTCATTAAAAAAATTATCTTTAATTTTAATTTTAATTTAACAAATAAAATAGTATTTAAAAATGAGATACTTATATGCCAGGTTGGAAGTAAAACCGTAAAACCCACAGCAACTTAAGGGCAATGGTGAACCTTTTGCAAACCATTAGCCTAAAACACAAGTGCACATCTGAAAAAGAAAGAATCAGAGACAGAACACATCAATAAAAATATATTTTGATAAACTAAAATATAGTTTGCACATTGAACATAGTTTTCACCATACAAAAGAAAAAAACATAGCGCAATATAATATACTATAAAAATTCCTTGAAAAATATAAAAAGTCAAATAATTGATTGAAATAAAACGGTTTAGTAAATAATTATATAATTTTTTTAAATAAATTATTTGTAAGCATATAAAGAGCAAATAAATGTTTAAAGAAATATGATTTAAATCCAGTTTGCAAATCAAACAACTATCTTATACCCATGGCAATACTTGGATCATGGTCAACATAATTCTATGAAATATAACTTTGGTTGAGGTAAACGGTTTCCTGTAAAGAAATATTAAATCATAAATGTAACATTAAATTACAAGCATGTTTTAACGGTATTGTTAAAGCAATCCTTTAAAATAATGGTTTGTAAAATAAAAATTTGTTGAGTTTTTATTTATCTGCTTTACCGGTTAAATACCAAGTTAGGTTAAATACCAATTTAGCTTTCCATCAATAACTTTACATTTTAAAGCTTAAAGTTGTATTTATATTTAATATAATCAAACAAATCAAACAGTAGACAGACTCCAGAACTTATATTTTAGATTTTTTTTTTCAAAAATAACATTAAACAAATAATATCAAAATAATAAAATTAATCTTACTTTATTCTCTGGTAAGATTCAATATCACGACTTAAATTCTCATCTACAATCTCATATACAAGTGGTTACTGTAAAAGGAAATGAATATGAAAAACACAGAAACAGTAATACTCATTGCACAAAAACTTTACTCTATTGAGTTTAAAAATTAAAATATTTAAAAATATATTAAATATTGTAAAATAAAGAAAACAAGTTTGTAAATAAAGATGCTTATTTAATTTAACAATGTTATTTATCTTCTGAACTAAAAAAAGCCCTCTTTATGTAATGGCTTTGGAAAACTTGAAGTAGGCATCACTTTTTTCTTGGCCTGTTTGTTTTTTTGGTCTTGCCTAACTTTTTGTCCGCCATTGCGGTCTGATGCTCCACGCAAAAAACGCCCAACCTCATATTGAAAATCTGATTCAGTTGCTGAAGTTGTTGCAGGATTTCTTTTTACAGCTCCTAAAAATTAATTTAAGACTTTTATTTAACTATCTAGCAGGAAAACAAAAAATATATTTTTTAACTTAATTTCAGAAATATATAGAATTTTTTTTAAAGCTATTTATTTACAAATTTTATTTATCTATTTATTAACTTTTTATTTATTAATAGTTAATAAATAAATTTTATTTATTTATCAACTATTTATTAACAAATAGATTAGTAATTACTAAATTAGACACAAGTAATTATTAAATTAGAGTAACAAGCCCCTACAAAAAAAATTACTTTCAAGCAAGTGTAAGTCTTTGTTTTACAAAGTTATATTCATTGTCATTTATGGTAATACCAGACCAGTTAAGTTTACAGCAGAGGTTATTGTGAATAACGCAAAGGACATTCTTTGGAAAGCCTCCTTTAAAGTCTGGCCTCCTTTACTTGCCACAGCTATTATCTACAAAAAAAATAGAAAAATCATTCGTAATATATATACTAAAGAATATTTTTTAAAAAATTAAAAAAAAATAGATATCAAATTAATGCCATTAATTATTGCATAACATTTATTAATAGGTTTTATGTCCTTTATTTCTGTTTATAAATGATCTAGCTGGTGTACCACAAATAAAAGCTGATATAGCAAACTTATATACTTTACCATTAATACTAATACCAGAATCAAATAAAGCAATACTTTCATAACAAACATTTTTAGAAATTTATTACGGTCTTTTGGTTTAGACCTACTATAAAAAAGACCGACTATAAATGGGGTTTTATTATGTTGAATATTGTTTATCCACATTTTTTATTAAACCTAATATTGGCCAAAATTGTCTATTGCTGTTTTTAAACAATGATAAATCATCAATGTAGACTTGAATTGATATACAATCCTTTTTCTTTAAAAAAACTTGAAAAATTACTTAAAATACCTTGTCTAATACCAAAATGACAATACTGTCCTCCAGTTATATTAGTAACAGGTACAAAAGACTTTGACGTAGAGTGCATGGATCCTTTGGCAATTCAGGAAACAATTTACCCAAAATTTTTAACAAAGATGCTGATGCTTCATCAGTTATAGCAAACTTGACTGACCACTGCATCAAATCATTTTTTAGTTCTTCATTGTTAACATCATCAATTGTTTCAGAATCTGATGACTCTAATGGGTAAGATTCAGAATCAGAAATTTTTAGATTACTGTCAGAGTTCACTTCACAATCAATATTATTTGCACCTAAGGGAATAGCACTCTCAGTTGAAAGTTTTCGATCTGATATACTCTTTAAATGCAATGATTGTATTTCTTCTGGTGAATGTGAAATATTGCTTGATTTATTGGTAAGATCTTTTAGGCAATATTCAATAGCTAATATCTTTCATCATTGTGCCCAAAAGCTCACTATTGAAACTTACATAAACTGTTTTATTTACTAAAGCTGGTACATATTTAAAAATGTATATATACATATATATATATATATATATATATATATATATATATATATATATATATATATATATATATATATATATATATATATATATATATATATATATACATAACTTCATATTAGTATAACATTGTTCTTGTTATATTAAAAGTTATATGACTAGTCATGTAATTTTTAATATAACAAGAACAATGATATACTAATATGATTATAACATATTGATGATATACTAATATGATATACTAATATGATTATAACAATATTGTTAAAGTTATTTTTTTTATTAAACCTAATATTGGCCAAAATTGTCTAAAATAAAATCAAATTGCTTGTAATGTTTGTTGCAACAAACATTACAAGCAAAACAAAAAATTACATTAAGTTCTTTTGGCAATAAAAACAAAAAACAACAACAACAACTATAAGAAAAGAACAACATAAATTAAAAATAATAAATTTAAAAAAAAAAGTAATAATCATACACGGTAGAATAAAACATTTATAATAAAACGAAAATAAAAACAAAAAGTATATAACACTATAAAAAACTAGATATCACTATTTAAAAATAATTAAATAACTAAAAAATAAAACAATAAATGACGAACAAAATAATAAGTAAATTTTTATACGCTAAAAAACTAAAGAAAAATCATTACTACAAGACCGCTTAAATAAAAAATGAAATCATAAATAAAGAATCCTAAAAATATATGAAAGAAAACTGAAGAAATATATGAAATAAAACAAAAAGAAATATATGAAAAAATAAAAAAATCTCCATTTTCCGATCTTTTTTCGATGTATAAATAGTTATTTTTTCCATTTTTTCCATTCTTTTTATTTATTTCACTCATTAAATTTTTCTCTTCACTTCTATTTTCTATACTTCTTTACTTATTTTCTTTCAGATGTTTCTTTTTCTTTTCTTGTTTTAAAATATTTATTTTTAGTTGATTTTATTATTGGCTTAATTTAAAATGTTTTCTTTTCTTTTTTTTCCAATATTGAATATTGTTATAAAAATTAGTTAACTGCTATGGAAAAAACCTTTAATACATTATATGCTTTAAAAAAAACTAGAAATGGATTAGATTATGTAGGTACTTAAGCGAAATATATATATATATATATATATATATATATATATATATATATATATATATATATATATATATATATATATATATATATATATATATAATATTCTATATATTTTATTTAATATATAAACAATGTTTAAATATAAACTTTATTTTCTTTATGATAAGAAAAGTTTTTATCTACATATTGTATATATTAAAAAAAAAACAATATTATCTCCAAAGCTATACACTTCCTTTTTAAATTAAAAATAAAATATTTATATGCCTTTAAATAAAATCATTTTATTAAACTGCTGGCGTAAACCAACATTGTTTTTATTGAGAATGTCATTAGTAAAATGTTTCCCATAACATAGTAAACGAATCGAAAGATACTTATTAATTATCTTTTTTAAGAGTTGAGAGGAGTGCATATCTTCAGTTAAAAATTCATGATCTATATCATGCTCATTCAGTTCAGGAAACAATTTTTCACATGCAAGCTCTTCATTAATTTTATAAACCATTAAGGACTTTAAGTTTTTTCAAGAAGAAATGGTTAACATTTTTGAATTTATGCCTATAACAAAAGCTCTAAATATTTTCTCACTCTTTTCAATAATTTTAATGACACTAATGATTAGATATACCGTCTAGGTATATTTAATCCACCGTGATTCTTTAAATTTATTAAGGATAACCAAGATGATTTGTAAAATATTGAGTAGGTATGATCACAAACTACATTAACTGGTTAATAAAGTGCTTCAGCACATATGCAACAAGTTGTTTTGTTTTTAAGAGTTCAGACAATATAACTCTGTTTGACAAAAGTATTGCTTGTTTAGACAGAAAGACCCTATAAATCTATTAGGAATAAACTGACTATCGAAAAAGGAATTGTGTGTAATGGTGACCTCATTGTACCTCCTAAGACAATGAGAAAGATCTTCATCAAATCGATCCATGATGATATACATTGTGGCATAATGCAAACGCGATGTAGATTAAAATTAGAAGCCTGGTGGCCTGGCTACTGTCAAGATGTTGAAGAATATGTGAAAAACTGTGAAAAATGTGCCAAAATAAAAGTGAAGAAGGAAAGGACATTACATACATGGCCAAGTGAAAATAAACCTTGGTGTAGAGTACATATGGATCATGCACATGTACAGGGTATCGGACTGTTTTTGATTTTAGTAGATTCTTTTTCTGGATGGCCGGAAGTTATTAAGGTAAATAACATAAGGTAAATAACATACATAAACATACGTGGCTATAAAAAATGTATATTAAAGATGGCTTACTTATAAGAATATATATAATTAAGTGTAGTACAGTGTTTTATTAACGACACAACAAATTGTTATGTAATTGTTAAATCCTGGACAGATTTGTTTATTTATTTTGAGTTATTTATATTTAGCTAATCAATTAGTAAACTTTATAACTAATTAATTTAATAACTAATATTATTTAATGAAACTTTTGATTTTTTTTTTCTGCAATTGAAAAAATTAAGAAAAAAGGGAGCAGAAATTACTATTATGAAAAAATGGACTTAACTGGAAATGGTCACTACCAGCAGAGCAACTTTTTTTCCCCAGTCTGAAATAGTCGATTTTATTGAGGAACCAAAGAAAATTTCAAAAAGAGGAATTTATTCAGTTCCAGAACTTTTTCACTAAATTTTTTAAAACATTATTTTTGTCATTTTTGTTTACTTTATACCTAAACTGTTTTGTTTACTTGGTACCTATACTTGTTTAGTTTGTACCTATATTTTATTTACTGTATACAAGAACTTTGTTACTAAATCTTTTTTTGTCTCTATTTTTGTAAATTTATTTTCTTCGCCTAAATATTGTTGTTTTTATTGTTGTTTTGCTTCCTTTAATTCCTTTTTACAGGGTTGGGCCAAAGTCACCCTAACACATAGGGCGACTTTGGCCCACCATTTAAACCATCCAAAAGATAATTCAGGTAAATAATTTTCAAATGGGAGACAGATTGTTCTAACTTTCCTTTCTATCCTATACCTTTTCAAACCTTCATTTCATATCCTATACATTACTTCTCTCAAAATTTTTTTGATCTTTTTAAAAATTTATAAATATTTACAAAAATAAAATTTTACGTAATTGGAATATCTGAATCTAGACAATTTAAAAATAGAACACTTTCCACCAACATTTCTCTTAATGGGTTTTGCTATAAAAAAATACCAACAGAATGTAGGTTTTTTTTTAGTTTTAAAACAATATTTTTCACAGTTTTTCATGTAAAAAAACTATGCCATACTGCATTTAAGTGTTTGTTCATCCATAGTGGGATGAAATTAACTTAAAAGCATACGTTAAAGGCTTTAATTAACACTTAATCTCCCCCTCCCCGGTTTCTGTAATGCCAAAAGGTTGTCTTCTGTAAATTGAATAAACTCTAAAAATACCCCAATTAAAAAAATTAAATTAAAAATAAGCAATATGGTTAAATAAAACTGTATATGTAATTAGATTTTTTACTTATTAAGCCTTTTGTGATAAAATTAGGACTAGAAGAAGTCTCATCATCGAGAACCTTCAAAATATAATGAAAACTAAAAATTTAAAAAGTGGATTTTATGAAACACATTTTGAGGTCTTTTTTAGTTGATGATTATTTAGTTTAATTTTCATTTGTTAGAAAAATTCTGTTTTCATCTGTTAGAATCAAAAAAGTGATGAAAATAATACTTAAATAATACTCAATACTTAAACACAGGAAGTTATTCTTCAAGAAAGTTATAAAGGTAACTGAATACTTAAGTACAGAAAGTTCTTCTTAGAATTCTTTTGCCAAAATATCTTTTAAAATTATTTGTCGATTATACAACAAGAATTATCAAAACTGCTGTTTTAAAACGCTTATCTTTATCAAACGTGGTTTCATGCAAATTTACTGGCTACAAAAGCTATAAGAGTGTTTTCTAATTAATCAGGGTGGCAGCAAATGTTATTTGCTATTATTAAATGAAGATATTCTTTAAATTATTTATTACTTTGTGTCTGACAGTTATTACTTTAGTAAAAATGACCCTTTCATTATGATCTCGTTTGTAATGTTTCGTCTTTATATTTATTATGAAGAGAATTCGACTATGGTTTTTATTTAATATTTATTTCAATATTTTCATATTAAATTATCACAACTAGTTTAAATATAAAACTCTGTATAGTTTCGCGTCGAAACTTCAACTGTATTTAAATTCAGCGCACTGGCTTTAGAGCGAGAATTCCTCGTGCGGAATGCTCTCAAGGGAATATTTTCGTTATAAGTTTTTGTGCAATTCGCAAAAAGGAATAGAGTTTTTTTGCAATCGCTAATTGCAATTCTAAGTTGTTTTGCGTAACAATCATTAATATTTTCCATCATGTTCTCCTTCAATTCCTTCCATCATATTTTCCTTCAATTCCTTGCATCATGTTACTTAATGGTCTGGATGGAATATTTAGACCATTTAGTTAAGGGAGGAGGAGGGTAAGAAGGAGGGTAACAAGACTTTTTATGATTAAGCTGGATCCAGGGTACCTAGAAAGGAAGAGTGGAGGGGGGATTTTTTAGTGGATCAAGACTATTTTGTAAAGTAGGGGGGTGATTTTCAAGTTTAATGATTTGTGAGCAGACAAGTACACTAAACGTAAAACTTTTCTAGTAATTTTTTTTAGAATATTAGTCTTACACTGTTTTAATATGTGTAACTATTAAGTTACGTCATATATTGATATTCCAACAGTCCAATTTTTTTTTGCGCCACAAAATTTTATAGAAATTTCTTATTACTTTTGAACAGCCTTCCTAATTTACTTCTGTTTTGAAGTATGTATTATTATATATATAAATTTACAAATAGAAAAAAATTGAG